GATTAACTCTTGTTAACGATGAAGCTTCAGATTGAGTTTTTCCTCGATCAACGACTAGATTTACCACAAGATCTCGCATGTTTTGGGAAACGGAATTTCGCGGCATGAAGATTCAGACTGACTTTTTCTTCGATCAACAACCAATCTCAAAACAAATTTTCGCGTATTTTGGCAAACAGAATTTCGCTGCATGTTTTAATGAAAATCTAATATCCTCATGCGCTAAATATTTTAATAAGAAATCATGGTTGTTTTAATTATCATCATGCATGTTTTAATTGAACATCATGGTTGTTTTGCCAATACAGTATGTGTATAAAAAATATGTAAAAAAATATGGTTTTGCATCCATTAAAACAAACAAGACATCCATTCAAATTTAAAATAAATTCCATTAAATTAAAATAAATTAATATAATATGAATAAAAATAAATTTATATAATATTAGATAAATAAATATATAAAGAAGACCTTTTTTTTAAAAATAATATAGAATGTTGATATTGTGCATGCGTTAAATGTTTCACAATTGTTTTACGATTGTTTTAATTGAAAATCACATTGTTTTAATTGATTGTCGCGGTGTTTTAAATGAATGTCATGGTTGTTTTAAATGGTTGTCATGATTGTTTTAAATGGATGTAAAAACCGGTATAGCAGTGTTTATGTACAGTTCTTTTCAGATTAACCATAAATGCTAATCTCAATACCATTTAAATGTGTTCAAATTATAATTTTTTGATTTTTGATAATACAAATATGATAATTAATGCTGAGATAATTATACAGAAAAATATTTTCATATTATTTTCAGTGATGGAGTGAAACAATTGTATTAGGGTATTTATTTCTAAAAAATTTCTTCTTTTAATCTCATTTAAAGCTTTAAAAGGTTATGCAACTATTTTATATTGCTTTAACAGAATCAAAATTTATTGCTAGATTTAAATTTTTTAATAATATCACTTCTTGTATATTCATGTTTTTAGTATTAATTTGTATATTTATTTAGTTATGTTTTAGTTAACAAAATGTATTTAACTTAATAATTTAACATTAAACTAATGAAATTTGAAAAAAAAAATACAATTAACATCATTTTGCTAACTTAACGAAAGTTAATGTTAAACTAACTAAGTTTAACATTAACATTTCGTTGTTGAAAAATCTGTAATACCTAAATTTTATTAGTTTTTATTTTAGCCTAAATAACCATAGCCAATAAAGACTAGCAAATGCTCTTACTGTCTCTCCAAAAATTGTTTTCAGCTTATTTTCTGTCACAATTATGACTATTAATTATTACTATTTAATAAGACTTTTAACTTTTGGATTTTAATTATTATACAAACATTTAACTGTATGATTTTAATTATGACAATTATATACAAACATATAGCTATATGAGAATAATGAGCTAGCAAGTAAAAAACTTAGATTAAACTTAGTTTAATAAAAGGATAAGAATATTAACTCTTCAAAGTTTAGGAAATGTAAGAATATTAACTCTTATAAAAAAGTTTTTACCTGTTTTTTTATTAATAAAAATTAAGGTTTTCTTCTTATTATTATTATTATTTTTCATTGTGTTCAGTTTTCATTATTATTTTTTTATTGTTAAAACTACTAAAATTTATGTTTATTTCAGAATAATAAAAATAAATAAACAAGAGAAAAATTAATACTTGAGGGAATGACGCAAAGTAATCAAGCCTTAAATAATATACTTGTAAATAGTGTTCGGCACAAATTCAAATAGTTTGATCAAATATGCGTCAAATGTTTGAAATGGCCAAATTCAAATCTTCCTATTTTGAATTTAGATCAAATTCAAATCTTTCCAAGATTTGATGTATATTTGAACGTTATTTAACTTATTTCATTTATTAATTTTAGTTATCTGAATCTATAAATTTTATTCATATTGCAGCATTTGTTACTATTTCTCACACATTACAGCTTCTTTTATTCTTTTTAATCCAACCAAGACTTCAAGCACTGGCAAGCTTGAATGGTATCTGCAGAGAGAAGATTTCTTTTGTCAGTAATAAGATTTTTTCCTAATGAGAAGAGCCTTTCTGATGATACAGATGTAGCAGGAATGGCCAGGTAATCTCTGGCCATTCTGGATAGGTTTGGATATTTGTCAGATCGAGATTTCCACCAAAGTAATATGTTGCTATTATTGCCGCCATCTAGCTTACTTGTATCATTACAATAGTTTTCAAACTCATTACATGGGTTTGATGAAACACGCGATTTGAACGGGGTATATTTTGAAACGTTTTGAATGCTTGTAGCAGTTGTAATATTGCTTGGGGCATAATTGATTTGATATTCACAATTGACTGTGTCCATAATCTTTGTATACGACTCGCTGTTTGCGCCCTTATCATTTTTGTAATATTCAATACCAAATCTTGGGTCCAGGACAGTGCAGATAGTAAAGCAGTCACTAGTCAAATTATAATATCTTGAAATTTTTGCGAACGCTGCAACTGTAGAGCGGTGTAGATTATCTTCAGGGTTGGTTTTTGTGGTCATCCATTCAGTAATGTGATCCAAAAGAATATTGAAGAGAGGAACCACCAAAGACAATGTGGAATATGAATCACCACTAATGAGCTGGGTAAATTCCTGGAATGGTTCAAGATACAAAACAATTGTTTCAAACCTGTTCCAAACATCTGGTGAAATTGATAGACAACAGTCTGGATTGTTTGCAGTTGAGTACAAATCGCAAAAATACGCAATGAAACCAACTTTTAATTTCATTGCTCGTTTAAGCATATCAGCTGTTGAGTTCCATCTTGTAGGGACATCAAGTATTGGTTTTAAGATGCAATTTGATTGCTGGAAACCTTTGAACCTAGAATATGATTGAGGACTGGATCGGATTTTTTTAATTCCTGTTCTAAGTTTTACAAGATCATCTTTCAAAACATCCAAACCTGCTTGCGCGCCCAAATTCAGCACATGAGCAAAACACCGGATATGCTCAAAGGTGGTTTTAATTTCGTACTTGGAATTTAAAAAATCCATAAATGAATTATTATTGGAAGCATTATCTAAGGTAATGCCCATTCCTTTGCTTGTAAGACCGAATTCAATCAAAACTGACAAGAATGCATTAGATAAATTTGAACCTGAATGGGAATCAGGCAAGGATTTGAAATCAAGAGTTTTGGCATGTAGGTTCCAGTCTTTGTCAATGTAATGAGCCGTTATGCCCATAAAAGCAATGTTGTTGGGTGATGTCCAACAGTCAGTGGTGAATGAAACCTTTGAGTCAAGATTCAAAAAAAGGGTCTTTAGCAATTGTTTTTTGGTGTTGTAAGTGTCCATTATCTGGCGTTTTAATTGGCGCGCACTCATGATTGACAAATTTGGTTTCAGTAGAGTGAGTAGTTTACGAAAGTGGCTGGACTCTACCTCATTAAATGATTGATCATTCTTGACAATCCAGCTAACTAAGTATTCATTGAATAGATCTGGAGAATAAACGATTGGTGTCATTATCATGTCATCTAAACGTCGTTGCTTTGGTTTTCTGTCCCCAAGTAATTTGCTTTTGTGTTGAGAATTTAAATGGTTCATTAGATTTGTTGTCCCATTGTAAGCATACTTGTTCTTGTGCTTTGGACAATGCTGGCATATGGCCTTGGTTTTGTCATGCTCATCAACTGTGAAATGATCCCATACAATTGATTGTGAACGTTCGGTGGTTTTTGTAACAGAAGAAGATTCGGGTTCTGGATTATCCGACATAATTAGGAATGTATATTTGATTTCTTTCAAAACAATAGTTTGGTTAGGGGTACTAATTAATCATTCAATCAATCAATCAATATATATTTCTGAAATAGATACATTATTTGTAAACAACCTTGAGTTGTTTACAAATAGTAAATATACTAATATTAAGTAAACACCTAATGAAAATGATTAAAATAATAATGGTTTAAATAATAAAAATAATATTAATAATAATGATAACAATAATAATAATTATATATAAGTCACTTGTCTTTATAAATACAATAGCTACATAAACAAAGTTAGACAGTTACAAACAGTTACAACTGATAAAACGTAAAAGTAAACAATGACATATAGCAACTATTATAATGAAAAACAAGGAAAAATAATTAATGAAAATAAGAATAACGAATATTAAAATAGAAATAATCATAATATAGTTTAAAAAAAACAAAAAAAAAACATACATAAACAGATCAAATTTACAAAAACAGCTACAGTAACAGCAAACAATACAAACACAATAGCAACAACAACACAAGTTTTCACAAACATACTACAAACAAAACGGCAAACTTAAACCGACAAAAAAAAGATTAACAAATAAATAAATTAGGAAATCTACCTGAAACCTGGAAATATAAAAATAAGTTATAGTAAAATTAAAAAAAAAAATTCTTTGCTTTCAAGCAAGCCATTATTATATTTTTTTATTATTTTCTTTTTTCGAATGATTGTTTCTTTCTCTGAATGTTTTTCGATTCTTTACTGTTTTACTTTTTCATTTTTATTGTGGTTAAATTGTATTTGCAATTTTTTCTTTTCATTTTTACATATATTTTTTTCTACGTTTTTTCTTTTAATCTTGTTCTTTGTTTACATTTCTTTTCTTTTTTTCTTTCTCTATGCTCTTTACTTTCTCTTTAATATTAACAAACTTTAATTAAAAACTCTTTTTTTTTTTTTTTTTTTTTCCGTTATTGAAAGGCGACCGCCATTCCGGAAACCACTGCAAAGACCCCGGAATAAAGTGATATATATGTTTGCGGGCCTGTAAAATTTGGCGTTTTTTTTTCAAACGCAAAAATTGAGAACAAAGTGAATATTTGAAAATCAAATCCAAATCCTCCAGATATTTGTCAAATCAAATTCAAATCTATCCCCTCAAAGAACAGTTCAAATTCAAATCTTTAAAGGTTTGACGTATATTTGATTTTGCCGAACACTACTTGTAAATGAAGAAATCGACAACTCATTGCATAATGAAGTTGAGAGTTGCATTGATTTCAAAAACATTAAAATTGAGAATTATAGTGACTTTTATTTTGTGTCTGATCATAAGATACTTCAAAAACTGAGAGTTCTAATCTCTGAGGTTCCTATGAATGACAATAATAAAGATCTTAATGATGAATTATTTGTTACAGAAATTGCCAAATGGATTTTAAAACACAGAATAACTAGAAATGCAAGTGATGAACTGTTATTTTTAATTTTACACCAGTATGGTTATCATGTTGATTTACCAAAAATACACAAGGATAATTTTAAATACTCCTAAGAATGTTCCAAGTGAGTTAAAATGTGGGGGTGAATATGTTTTAGCAGTCAATTAGTATTATAGATTTGAGTCAAATACAATTTTTCTAGTTGTCAATGTAGATGGCCTTCCCTTTTTCAAGTCATCAAACACACAGGCCTATATTATTTAGGTTTGACAAAGGGACACCATTTATTGTCTCATTATTTGTTGGTGATAACAAGCTAAATAATCGTGATAATTTTTATATGATTTTTTGCATGAGTATGAGTTATAATTGGCAATTGGTTTCAGTATAATTCATATAACTTTAATTACAACTTGAGAAAAATTGTTGCAAATGTGCCAATAAAACATCAGGAAGTATAAGCATAACCATTTTCAAAAGATTAAGTCCCTTGAAGAATTTTATGAACTTGAAACCAGATTAAAAGTCAGCCGGGAGTACTGTAAATTGGTAATTTATATTTATAATTTCTATTTTTAAAGTTTGTCTGTTTGATAGAATGCTATTTAATTTCATCATTTTCTTGATGAACCTGTTTAAATTGCTCTCACATTTTACTAGAATATGGTGTAAAAGGTAAATTCATACTTAATATGTAAAAGGTAAATTCATACAATACATAAGTCTAAAATTATTTTAGTGACCTGATGACCTGATAGCCATTTACATTCTGTAGAGTTTTTCACAGTCTTGTATTTTTTGTTAAATAATTTTGTCTTATATTTGGTTGAGCAACTATTTTGTTGTTTTTAAAGAACAACTGTGACAAACAACCAAATTTTCAATGTATAAATTAGACAACTTTATCAACTTTTCAAAAGTCTTTTACGAAAACTGCCCCATTCATTTAGGTTCTTCCCTACAGGTTTCAGCTTTAATTAGATGTCGAAACTTTGAATATAAAACATAAAAAAGTAAAGAATCTTTCAAAGTTATACTTTTAATTATTACTCTAATGTGTATTTACAATTAATTAAAATCGATTAATGTAGTATAACAAAGTAGTTATTTTTCATTTATTATTTGTTATTACGTTTTTATAGAATTATGAAGCATCATGTTATGGCCAAGTTAAATATGAAAGGCAAAATTCGTGGTGATATAAAGAAGGTATCATTCGAAGATAAAAAGTTGTGTAAAGCAATAATTGGTACGTTAATAATAGCTCAATATTGTTTTATCTATCCCTTCTTCCTTACATATGTTTTTTATTCTTAGATATATATTAGTCTTGAACCTTGAATTTTAGTGTTGAAAATCAAACAAATAGTCAATTATAAACAAATTAAATTTTTAACTCTTATCCCGTTTACAGTATCCCATGTTGTGTTTTAGAAGTCATCCAGCTAATACACGAGAGTTCGACGGAAGCAAACAAAAGATCAAATAGGCATTTTAAAGTTCTCTCCATTGAACAATTATTTATTTTTGAGTTTTTTTGTAAATTTATCATACAAAAGAATATATTTATATATTCTTATTATATACATTATAATACATCTTTAAAAACATTTATTGTATTTTTAGTTTGAGTATCCCCAAAACTATTTTTCTAACCCATTGTAAGGGGTTAGAAAAATAGTTTTGGGGATATTCAAACTTAAAAAAACTTATATTATAATTGAGTATTGATTGCAATTGTGTTTAACATATAATGTTAATATATAAGGTTATATTCATATAATAACCATGACACCAAGCCGCGTATAAAGGACTTCGGCTCAGGGTTATATGAATATAACTATAGCTATACTAACATTACATATTACACAATTACAATCAATTTTTTACGTTAATATAAAACGCCAATGTTTTTCCAACATGTATTTACATTAATCTAGCTTTAGAATTTTACGTTTATAACGTTAATATCTAACGTAAATCTAACGTAAGAATTTTACGTTACAAAACCTTTCCATTTTGCCAGCAAACGTTGTACTAACATAAAATCTAACGTAATTAAAACTTTAATACAATGTTGTGTTCCCGCTGGGCATGTTTTACAAAATGTTCCCGCTGGGCATGTTTTTGAAAAATAAGTTTTTTTTTTTTAAGTTGATTAAGGTGCTCCAAGAAGTCCTTACGGTCTTATCACAGAGCACCGCGGAAGGGCATTTAATGGGAAGTTCACGCCTCCTTCCCAACCGATGTCGCAAAACTTGCCCAGAGGTGGGGTTTGAACCAGGGATCTTACGTTTCTGAGGCAAGTGCGCTACCACTGCGCCACGGCTGCTTATAATTAAAAATTATTTAGCAAAGGTATATATATATATATATATATATATATATATATATATATATATATATATATATATATTGGGATTTCTTTAACACTTTTAACGTTCTCGTTTTGATTTCTAAATTAGCCTAATATACTATCGGAGTAACAATGTTATGTTAGCTATACCTACATTAATTTTAATGAGTAAACTTTTTTTTTTTCAAGAGGATTTCATCTATAATTCGAAAAGGTATATATTTATTTGATTAAAAAATATTGAATATTTCTTCTTGAACTATCAAATTTTTTGAATGTTTTTTTTTTGAAAAATAAATATAATATTAAATCATAATTCATAATTCACCGAAACAAAGTGAATTTTATAACAATAAGTTGTTTTTTTATAAAATGTTATTGTTTTACGCAGTGGAAAACACAGTGTACTTTTTGCGTGTTATCGACGTTCTAATCCCCACATCTGCTAACTTTTATTTAAAAAAACGTTCCAAAAATCTAACGTTCTCCATTCTTTTTATTTCCAATATCGATACAACGTTGTTGCAACCTAAATAACAACATTGTTTAACGCTGTTCCAACGTTGATGTGCCTACTGGGTTCGTTGTTTTGATATTTTTAAGTTGCGACCAATATCAACACATTTTGAAAGTAAATGTATCTATCTTTGAGAAGTTTTATTTTTATTTTTATGGAGTGACATGCTGATTTATTGCCTCATGCTGATAGACCTTTATTGTGTCAGCGACATTTGGAAAAGCACAACATTCAGTTTGTTTTGTAATCGAGTAACAAAACTTAAAATCATCGAAAGGAGGTATGAGCTTCCTAGTTAAATGCTCGCGGTGATAAGTCCGTTAGGTCCGTTAGGTCTTTTTGGGACGCTTAAAACAAAAAAGTAAAAAAAAAAAAATGAAGTTCTTTCGTCATTTTGTTTTGTGATCGTAAAAATGTAACGTTCATATGTGATTCTTCTGTAACTACTGTTGCAATTTAATACATCTCAAAATCTTAAACAACTCAAGGTACACGAATGATCAATGATCATATTTTCTGCGGTAATGGAAGCGACCATATAATTAAATATGAAACTTGAATGGAATAATATATTATTTGTTATTTATTTATTTCAGTGATCAAATACAAATACAATAATCCATTTATAATTTGATGAAGAGGTGCTACACCAGGTCCCTCTATGCTGACGAACATGGAGATACAGACGCTACAGATAAAGCAGCAGTTGTATCTATAAAGTGACTTTCTTATGTTGTTTTTGAAAGCGTTGATGGACTGAGCGTTCACTGCTTCTTATTAGTCGATTTTGTTTTTGTTGCTCGTTGTTGGACTTGCTCAAGAATGGCAATGTCTGATTTTTAAATGCAGTGACCAGTCTTGTACAACAAACTCAAGATGGGGGAGAATGTAAGTGAGATACAGAGTGCGCCGTAAATAAAAACTGCGACTGCGAAATGTTTTTTTGAGCCCTAGCATTCTATTTGCTAATAATGCGGCTGACTCTATTTACGGTCTGACTTTAAGATCATTCTAGACCATCACACCAAAATATCTTTCGACTGCGGTTTTTTCGAGAGGACGGCGGGTGCCGTCGACGTTAGACATTGAGTATTTGTACTTTGACTTGTTACATCCGCGCCCAACATGCATTACTTTGCATTTATCAACATTGAAATGCAAGAGCCAAATGTGTGACCATTCCACTGCTCTGTCAACGTTATCTTGGAGAGTGATGCTGTCCGACTCCTTTTTAATTATCCCTATTATTTTGCTGTCGTCGGCAAACAGTTTCACATGATGAGTAATTCTGTCCGGCAGGTCGTTTACAAAGATTACGAATAGCAATGGCCCCAAAACCGAGCCTTGAGGCACTCCACTAGTGACTGCTTTCCATTCAGAAGTAATGCTGTTTATAACCACTCGTTGACATCGATTGTTTAGCCAAGCTGCAATCCAGTCAACGAGAGCGCCTTGAATACCGTACGCTCTCAGCTTATGAAAGAGGCGTTTATGTGGTACTTTGTCGAGCGTCTTTGCAAAGTCTGTGTAAATGACGTCTACTGCGTGTCTGCAGTGAGTTGCTTCCGTCATGATGTCCCGAGTTTCTAAAAGGTTTGATACGCATCCCTCACGATGAACAAAGGAATGCTGGTTTGGATATCTCTATTGATTTATTCGCAACGCCTCTAAGCTCCAAAGATATTGACTTTAAGAAACTAAAAAACATAAGAAAAATAAAGTTATCTGATTCTCTAAAGAAATAATTTTAAAAATATTCACAGGTCAAATTTTTTCGGGCTTATTTTTTTCTTTTTTTCCGTTTATTACGGCCGTGCTTTTTACGTATGCAATAAAAAAAAAAAAAAAAAAAAAAACACGTTAGATAAATTGTAATTTATCTAAGTGTCACTGAAAAAATAGTTCAAAAGTACGAACATTTGTTTTATACATTCGTTACAAGTTTTTATGTTGATAGGATAATATGATAAACTTTGTTATGGATATAAATAGACAAAAAAAAAAGCGGTTCTGTACGTCAATAAGTATTACTTTTTTTGTTGTTGATATTAGTGTATTTAACGCTATTTTATATTTTTAGATAACATGTTGAATAGATTAATTTATTGTCAAACCTACAAGTTGCTTTTTATGCCAATTTTTTTTTATCACACACGTCACATTAACTATTTTATTATAGTTGTATATTGCATAATCTCTTATCAATCTATAATAAAATTTCACTTGGATTATTTCCAAGCATAATAAAAAGGCGTGATTTATTAATTGAAATCGGATGTATATATGAGAGAGATAAAAATTTCGGATGTATATATATACCATGCTTAAAGTAGGAAGTAAAAAATAAGCAAGTATGAAAGAGATAAAAAAATTTTTTTTCCTCTCTCATTCTTTTTCTAAGATAAAAAATGCGATCAAGTCTATTCAATAACAGAAAATAAAATGTTGCAAAACAAGAAAACTTAAAAATAAAAGAGAATGGAATCGAAAAAAGAATAAAAGAGGATGGAAAAAAAAAAAAGAAGAAAAGAATAGTAACCTCGTTTAGCAAATAAATATAGCAGTAAGTTAATTATTTTTTTATTTATTAACTTTTTGTTTTATTTATTCATTAAAATATTTATACATGAAACACATTCAGTTGTAAAACTGTTTAATGTGTGCCCCGTGCCCCGCAAACAAAACATAAACACTAAAAAAAAATTATTTGCAAAAAGTTTAAAAACTTGTTTATATAATTTTAAAATTTTATTAGTAAGTGTGTCTGTATGTGTGTATTTAAGTCTGATAAGACGTCACATTTTTAATACAGTTCTAAAAAGTGTTTTTTTTTTTTTTTTATATAAAAGGTTTTTTCATTTTTATATAAAAAAGTTTTTTTCAAAGTTTTAATCTGATTTTAAAAAAAAAATTATACTAAAATATATTAAATATTAAATTAAATGCATTTTAATTTTTTTTTTTTGTATTTGTTTAAATAAAGTTAAAAATAAATTTTTTTGCATCATAACTTTTTCCATTTTAACTGATAAAAATTTTTTTTTTTAAGAATATTGAAGGTCTTGGAGAATAATTTTTAACAACATTGAGGTCTTAAAAAATGGTTTTTAACAAACTTGAGTCTTCAAGCAATACTTGTGATTGTTCATGTGTGATCGTTCATGTGTGATCGTTCATGTGTGATCGTTATCGTAAAAATTTAATACAACTAAAGACTTTTTAACGCTTTTAGTCGATTTTGTAAATGTGATGATTTCCGAATTGTTTCTTATATCTAAGCAAAGTTTTTAGTACATTTGTACCAACAAATATTATATACTGTTTTGTATGACATAACTTATGTACGTTTGTAACATTTAAGAAACACGTCGTAACAGCGTGCTACCAAATTACGTCATGCCATGACGACATGTAACCCAATATAAAAAATTGATTTTATGTTTAATCTAATTAATAATATTTTAAAATCAAAATAAAGAATTAAATTATAAATATATCAATTAATTTAATACCTCTAATGTAGTTTTAACTTATGGTAATATTATAACTTTGTATTATGTAACGGCATCGTAATATATTTAAAATGTCCGAATACATCGTAATACATTCAAAATGTCCGAAAACGTCAAAGCACACCACAACATCAAAAGATTGTATCACACAAAAAATGTTCGTAGCCGCGTAAGGTTTCGCTAACGTCACAGAGTGTTTGTTCGCAAATAAATCACAAAATGACTAATAGCGTTAATATAAAATTTTATTCCGGTGAAATTTTTTTCCCTATAACATTTCCATTAATACTTGGGCTACATTTATAAAAAACTATTTATAGCTTTGCAACTCTTAACTATTCAAACATTTTATTTAACTTCCTATTGGTGAGTTTCCGCTTGTCCGTTTATCTATAAAAGTAATCACGTGACCATATTTAGTTTTGCTGTAGGATGTTAATATGCGTAGTTTAAAATTCAAATTACAAATGTTATGTTACTATTTTCTCCTTTTCTTTCCCTTAGATGAACTGGCCAGCGAACTTAGATGAACTGGCCAGCGAAAACTTACCTTGAGGTATAAAAACGAACTAAACCTAATTAAAAAACGTAAAGTTTAAAGTTAGCAGTAATTTAAATTTATAATTATAGTAACTTAAAATAAAAAAAAAAATTAAAAAGAAATTACTGTGAATTAAAATAATAATAAAAAAACTATGTGTTGAACATTGTAATATTTCATAATTTAACTAATTATTCAAAAACAAATCCAATTTAGTTTTAACTATACCTTGAACGTTTTATGAATTCTATTCATAAGATAGTTATAATTTTTCTATACTAATATACTAATATGAATATTGTAAAGTAAAAAGAATTTTCTACGTGTTGTAGGTCACATAGATCATTTATAGATTAAACTAAAGTTTGTTAGCAATCGCTACTGCTAGTAATTAAATTTAACTAATCTCTTAGACAGGATCGAATAGCACTGATGTATATATAGAGACATAGGGCTCTTATGGTAGTAAAAAATTTAGCTAAAATAAGTTAATCTAAAATAAGTTAATCCTGAATCACATATTTTTTTTTTGTTATAAGGGTATAGGAAATTTCTAATTATGAGCATGCAAATTTCCATATCTTTGACCATGCACTCCATCCATCAATTTATTCAATACGCTTAAAAAAATAAATCCATATGCCAGCTTTTAAAAATATTGTTTTCTAAATTGCGGCGTTGCATTACTTTATTTTCTGCACATATTGTTAATGTTAAAATGGAATTGTGGTTATGGTAACCAAATACGATTTGGTTAAAAATATATAACATATTATAAAACTTTAGTTTAATAATATAATGTTATATATTTTATTTTATTATATCATAAATTTTTTTTTAATTACATATAATTTAAAGAAAATTATATTATAAACTTAATTAATAACTTAAAAATTTATATAATTTTAATATTATATTTATAATTTAATTAATAGTTTAAATTTAATAATTAGATTTATCTTAATAATTTTTCTTGAAAAATGAGGAATTTTTTAGATTAACTCATTTTACCGTACTTAAAGCTGCACTTTAATTGTATTTCACTATATATTGTTTATAAATACAAAAATCTGAAATATAATGTTTACTAAGAAATAAATATATTTTAAGTAATAAAATCTTCAGCCCCATTAAATATTTCTAAGCCTCTCTCTAAGCCTCTCTGGTTGGGAAGCACAGACTTCTTATAAGAATAAAGATAAAAACACAAATCTTAATGTTGTTTCGTCATAAATTAATTATTCAATTTTTTTCCCAAGAATTATTTATAAATTATATAAAAAATTCAGTCTCTTAATCAATTTACCACTAATAAATAATATAAGGCATTTTTACGATCTCATTGTATATTATATAAAACATTTCATATTTTAATCGTAGAAATAACTATATTTATTGTATTGTCTTCGAAAAATTGATGTATATAAACAATGAATAATTGTTATGGATTTTTATTTTTTTTACTTGTGGCATTTTTTTATTTTTGTGTATTTTACTTCAAATATGGCAGGGGTCAGGGGAAAATCCCCCTTAACCTCCCTGGCTGGTCCGACCCTGCTCTTAGAGATTTAAACTTCTCATTTTTAACGGAAATCAAATCTTTTTTGTCTCACATCTCCGTTTTGATATTTTTCGGTATTTTTTTTTACAAGTATAGCTCTAGAATGATCATATAATTAAAATTTTGCTTTAGAGTTAAACAGGAGTTACAGGAAAGTAATTGAATATTGTTATAGAGTTAAGCAGGATTTATAAGAAGGTAATTGAATATTGTTATAGAGTTAAACAGGAGTTATGTGCCAGTAGTGTCGTTAAGCGTTTACATTTGTCTCCGAGTCCACCATTTGTACCAAAAATCAATTGGGTCAACTTCTAGAACTCGTTCTAAATACTCACGTTTTTTCGCTTCTTCGTTTTTATGATATATCAGTTTTTCAGTTGTTTTTTGGAAGACTTGGAATTTACGTGGTTAATCTAACATCAAAAAATGCAGTTTCTCTCTTCCTCCAAAACCCTTTTGCTTTTATATGCAGTCTAGCTTCACGGCAATTTTGAGCTGAAATTTTTTATTTGTCAACGGAATTAAATGCGGTCCGCTTGAACATCAGTACAAACTTTAGTAAGGCAAACAGTTAAAAAGTCTCTGATATTGTCATGTCTGTTGCACACAAGCGTGTAGCTCGTAAAATTTATCTCCACAAGCATAGTAGAATACTAAATTAGCAAGCTGCACACTGTATCTCAATCTAAGTACCTCCCTAAACTCTTCCATATTCAGATCTAGATTTTGTTCTTTAATTGGTAAAGTGTTCAACTACTGCTGGCGCCTTTGTCAGAGGCCTGTTCAACCAAGTTGTTTAAGATTTTCTGGAAGCCTAGTGTATATTTCTTTAAACTCTTCTTAATTTTTTTTATTTACTTATTCATGTTTGTTTTGTTTTTATTTTTGAAATCGTACTACCATAATCATCTTTTTCTTTAATGAATTCTAACTAGTCAAGTATGGATTATACGTGCAACTTGGTTATTTTTTTAGAGGTAACGTGTTGTTCCTTGGCTTCAGTTATTACATTTCAAATTCCAAGCCCTCTCACTGATGGGTTCAGCGCCAATAACTCTTTTTTCTCCTTGATTATATATACTTAACATAATGAAGTTTTTTTTTAATTTAATCAGATAGATAAGACAATTGTCGTTTTGCGCAAAAGTTTTTCTATGTGATACAAATGTTTCTTATTGTTTACCAATTTTTATTTATAACAATTGGTAGCGTGGATATCATGGCTTTTATGCAATGAGTTAAACATCCATCTACTAATACGTTCTTGGTCTTTCCTTATGAAACAATGATAAAAGTACTGCATAATTTCTTAAAGAATATAACAATGCTGCAGCTATTGTTGTTTTATCAAGTATTGCCATTGCAAAGTTGACATCTTGTTTGTTATTTCCAAAATAAGTGACCGGGTATTTTATCAACAAAAAAAAAATTAACTTAATGATTGATTTTTTTTACAGACTTGATAAAATAAAACCAATGCAATGTAAGCAACATGCTATCATTTTTGTAATGACATAAAATTGATTACATTACATGGAGTCTCAATATCGACTTAAACAATACAGATTATCTTATTTTACACTTTTATCTGACAGCAGTAAGATGAATGTAATTATTTATAAAAGACCAATACTTCGCCATCATCATGGTCCTTTTAAAGAACAACACTTTGCCATCATCAAGGTCCATGTAAAGACCAGCACTTTGCCATCATGATTTATGCTCATACTCAGCAAAGATAAATTTTATAGTAAGCTTTTTTAAGTTAAATTTAGATCAATTTAAAAGTATTCTTTTTGTCACCAATAACATTCCAATTATGTCCATGATTAATAACATTCTAATTATGTCAATGATCAATAAAACCATGATTGTGCAGAAAACTTTCTGAAAAAAAATATTTCACTCCGAACATGGTTTTATTGATCTTTGGTTTTATTACATAACTTGTCACCAATAACGTTCAAAATAACAAAAGTAAAGCGACAAAGAAAAACTTCAAAATGTTAAATAAATAAACTTTGAGATTACACTTCTTAAACTTTCTGTTACTTAGTTTTAGTTAGATTTTATAATAATTAATATTGCACACTCTAACATCCAGTACAATATCTTTCCGTTTACTCTATTTGTCTAACTTAACTACCTTTCATTCTTATTTACTTTGTTCTTCCTAAAACGCACATACTCTCGTATTATGATGCTCTTTAGTGAGCTGAACTTACTTTCGCAGGCCTTGTTATGTGGCCTCTATAAGGCAATTAGTCGGAGGAGGATAAAACACAATAGCAAAAACATCTTAATTTTAGTATTGTGTTTATGCAAGAAAATTTCACATGTTAAATGAAGAAAATAAAGAATTAATTATTTTTCGTCTATGTCTTTAAACTAGCTTATGGACGTAGCAAAAAAGGATAAAAGTTTAGATATGCCCCGGGAGCGTCAATTGTATTTTTTTTTTAATTTCAAGTATGACACTTTCATGTGTAGTGCTAACTCTAAACTTAAGTATGTTCAAGTTTTAATTCAAATGAGAATATTTTACAAAATCAATTGTTGCGATTGGGAACGAAAACAACCCAAAAAGTCACCAACACTACTAATGCAATGTTGATAAAAAAAAGTTTTTTTACAATTTGTTTTATACTAAATATAAATTCATCAACGGGTTTTAATTTTTATATAACAATCTTTTATTATATAAATATTAAAACCTGTCGAAAGTTATGATTAGCTAAAGTTTACCACACATCATCTGGGGGAAAATTAACATGGTCATATCTTTCTAGTAAATTATTAGGTAAAGATTAAAAATTCTTTGTAAATTTAAACTTTCTATAAGGTAGCAAAATTTTTTTATTAATTTGTTGCCTTATCATTTAAGGTGGGGTGCTTACTCTTAGAGGTATTTTCGTACCCAGGTTTAAAACATCGCAAATATTTATTTGATAAATTTTTAATCTAATATTTTGATATCTATTTAATGAGTTTACATAGTAGACTAATGTCTGTAAAGTTATTTATAACTCACAATTAATAAGATTGAACTAACTAGGGGATTAGAAGTATAGCTCGAATGAA